GGCAGAAAAAGACAAATACGGCATGATCTCACGTTTATGAGAAATCTAAAAAAGTCAAAACTCATAAAAACCAAGAGTAGAATAGTGGTTGCCAGGGTCTGGGGGGAATAGGGGAATGGGGGATGTCGATCAAAAGGTACAGAGTTTCAATTAGACAGAATTAGTTCTGGAGATCTACTGTATAGCATGGTGACTATAGTTAATAATGACATATACTTGAAAATTGCTAAGAGAGATCTTAAATGTTCTCACTACCAAAAAAAAAAAAATTCTAAACCTACATCAGGTAATTTTAAAAATGGTTAAAAAGGTAAATTTTATGTCATATATAATTTGACATAATTTAAAAAATCAATGGTATTTTTATACACTAGCAACAAACAACCAGAAAAAGAAAAGATACTTTAAAAAATTATTTCCAGGCCAGGTGCGGTGGCTCATGCCTGTAATCCCAGCATTTTGGGAGGCTGAGGCAGGAGAATCACGAGGTCAGGAGATCGAGACCATCCTAGCTAACACAATGAAACCCTGTCTCTACTAAAAATAGAAAAAATTAGCCGAGTGTGGTGGCAGGCACCTGTGGTCCCAGCTACCTGGGAGGCTGAGGCAGGAGAATGGCGTGAACATGGGAGGCAGAGGTTGCAGTGAGCCGAGATCGTGCCACTGCACTCCAGCCTACCCAACAGCAAGACTCTGACTTAAAAAAAAAAAAAAAAAAAAAAAAAAAAAAAATTACCATAAAGCTATAGTAAGTAAGACAATGTAGTGTTTATTAGGATAAACAAATAGATCAACAAAACACAACAGAATCCAGAAATAGACCCACCCACTTATGGTCCACCGATTTAAAGCAAGGGTTATTACCAGTATAATTCAGTATAGGAGGAAAGTCTTTTCAACAAACAATGCTGGAACAACTGAATATCTATATGGGTAAAAAATAATATTGACCCCCATCTCACCCACAAAAATTATTTTGAGAAGGACCAAAGACCTAAATCTAAAAACTATAATGTTTCTAGAAAAAATCAGGGCCAGGCGAGGTGGCTCATGGCTGTAATATCAACACCAGGAGGCCAAGGCGGGAGGATCACTTGAGGCCAGGAGTTTGAGGCTGCAGTGAGCCATGATAGTGCCGCTGCATCCCCACCTGGGGGACAGAGCAAGACCTTGTCTCTATATTAAAAAAAAAAGAAGAAGAAGAAAGAAAGAAAAGGGAAGGAGAGGGGAAGGGAGGGGAGGGGAGGAAGAGAAAGAATCAGGAAAGAAGTAACATCCGTGACAGTGACAGAGTAGGTAGGTTCAAGGACCCATCCCTCCCCAGGCATGCTTCAGTATGGTGCCTGCCTCCTTCCCATTGTTGAGTGTGGCTGCCATGCACGAATGACAGGCATTCAGTCCATAATCCCAGGACCAGGAGCAGTGTGCATCGGACCCACTTGGGTCAGCAGATTCCCGCTTTCCCCAGGAGATGATTCCTTCCATTCACATTGCAAGGTTGACAACACAGGTCTAACTCTCCTCAGATCCCCTGAGACTGATGGAATGTTTACCTGTGAATGTCACTCCATCCCTTTTCTTAAACTTAGAAGGATCTTTCAAGGAGGAAAAATACCTCATGGTGCATAAATGTGGAGTTCAAGAATTTCTTGTTTTACTTCTGATTCATTTTCTTCAATTAGAGTCAAGTAAAATTAAATCTTTGCTAAAAAAAATAGACATATGGTATGATCCCATTTTTATGAAAGTATTTCTATCTCTCCTATCTGTAAAAATGCATAGAAATATGTTGAGGATGCTGTACCAGAAATGTTAATGACGGTTATATTTGAATGATAGAACTTGAGGTAATACTTTTTTCTTTTTGTACTTTTCTGCAACGCTTAAGCTGTTTGTAGGGAGCATATACTGTTTTCACAGAAAGAATAAAGTAATTTTTTTTAAAGAAAAAACTGACCCCCTGGCAAGAGGCCTTGGGGTTTAACACGTCCCTATTTTACTTTCCTCCTCCTGCTCCTCGCTTCCTGTCCCCTCACCCTCAGTCCCCTCCATTTCCCTCTTCCTGTTTTCTCACACACGTGCAGAGACACACATCCACACATGCGCACACACACGTGCACATGCACCCTTTTCTCCTTCCCCCGCTTTCCCCACATCTAGTCTTTCTCCCACAGGCTGAGAAGTCTCATGTCTCAGTGCTGAACTCCCCGCTGGCTCATGGGGGGTAGGAGCAGTGGGCTCCATTCCTTTTTCTGCTGGAACTTGAGGCAGAGACATCTTGAGGGGGTTTTGAGACCCTCAGTGGTCCCTCCTTTCCCCTCTGCCTCCCATGACCCCTCAGCCCAGGAGAGAAGGATGAGCAGCCAGGCTGGGCTGGGAGAACAAGGGAGAGCATCGGCCTGATGCAGTTCTAGGCAGTGTCCACCTTCAGGGCTCTGGGGTATGGCAGATTCTGAATCTCATTCCCAGCTCCATGTCATCCCTTGGCTCCACTTTTTGTTCCCAGTCTCTTTGTCCAATGTATCCACTTCCTCTTGGATTTTGGTGTGCTATCTCAAGGGTCTGCTGCTGGACAGGGCTCAAATGTGGGAAGCGGGCATCATCAGAGCTGCCATTGTAACATGACTCTTCCCCTCCCCCTTTCCCATGTCAGGACTTGGGGAGCCAAGAGCAGCATGGCCCGAACCACCCTTTCCCAAGCTGCGGGAGCTTATGGTTCAGTAAGAGAGAGCCAGGCCCACCCAGACAGGGCGAGGGCTACTCTGCAGTCTTACAGGACCAATGCAAGGGACAGGGGAAAGTATAGAAGTGGATCTGGGAGAGCCTTCAAACACAGCCATGGTAGAAACACCCATGTCCCAGTGTAAGTTCTGGCTACCCAAGCAAAGCAACCTGGTAGTTCCACTCACAGACAGTGAATTCACCATGATGGGTGCCTCCCTAGGGTGGAAGAGAACACAAAATGCTGGGCACCTCTGGTCCTCAGTCTCCACAAGGGGAAGAGCTCTCCTTTGAGGACTCCAAGTCTAATACAAGCAGATGGGTCAGTGTTTGTAGGACATGGACTATGGTATTGGAGAAGAGGAGATCCAGAGATGTAAAGCCAGGCCACTCCATATCCCAGGACTCTCAGCCTTGGAGCTCTGGCCTGGAGCTCCCACCAGGCCAGAGCTCCTCCAGGGACTGGAGAAAGCTGGCAGGTCTTAGTAATGTGTGCTAAGGACTGACAGCTGAGGTGTGAAGGCCAAGATTCGCTGCCCACAACACAATAAGGATGGGTGGGAGGAATCATGTAATACAGGTGTATGGGTCATGACTGAGGGGTGGAGCCATTGAGACAACAGGACAAAAAATAAGAAGGCCGCTCTCACAAATGCAGGGAGGGGAAATGAGGGGAGCAGGCGGAAGAAAAGAGGTGTGACAGGCAGATGTGAGGACTGGTCCTTAGGAATTCTTTCTGGACTTCTTCCCTGGCCCCCAGGCCTTTGGCTCTCCCTGCTAGATGGGTGGCAGGGATAGAAGGAGATTCCTCACTGGATACCCTTTGAACCTTTTTAGCTGCAAACCATGTTCGTAACTACTTGTTTTGTTGTTGCTGTTGTTGTTTTACATTTTAAGGAAAATATTCCTGAGCCATATGAAGAAGGGTTGCTTTTTGGGCACAAGGGGTTCAGAGCCCCGTCTTCATTTGTCTGGGTGCTGGGGATGGTGGGCAAATGTCCTCAGAGTCCAGTTTGGCAGGAAGACCCAGAAAAGGCCATACTGGAAGTGGGGGCTGGGGCTGCGGGTACCATGGGGTGCATTTCCCTGGTGACCAGCCACTGGGGGCAGCACCCAGGCCTGAGTTATTGGGGGATCTAGAATACAGACTGGCCCAAAAGTGTTGCCAAAATGAACAGATGAAAATACAGGATGTCCAGTTAAAGTTGAATGTCAGATAAATAACCAAAATTTTTAATATAAGTATGTCCCAAATATTGTGTGGGACATATTTATGCTAAAAAAGAGTATTCATTGTTTATGATATTCAAATTTAACTGCGCAGTCTGTATTTCATTTGTCATCCGTACATCCCAGATGTTGGCTGTTCCTGCAATTTTCTTTATTTTTGTTTTTGTTTTTTAAATTGTTTACCCAAATTTCCACAGCCTTGCCAGCCTGTGGATGCAAATGGACTTACTTAAAAATAACAAATGCCCTGGGCTGCTGGCTAATGCAGGACTTTGTCCCTCTGCGCCACGCAGTCTGGGGACTCTCCAGAAGCTGCTGTTTTCCGGTTCGGTGCCCGCTGCCTTCTAGGCCATAGGTACCTTAGCGCCCTCTGCTGGTGAACCCTGACAGCAAACTCCGAAGATGCCCAAAGGCTCTGGGCTCCTCAACCGGCCCACCAGGCCAGAGCTCCTCCGCGGACTGGAGAAAGGTTCCCTTTTCTGACTTCTCGCTGGGCCTGACAGCAGATGGTGTCTCCAGCTGCTCCGCCTCTGCCCTCCCTGCTTCACCCACCCCTTCTCCCCAAAAGCTCTTTCTGCCTTTGTAAGTGCCATGTGAACAGGCGACGTTCAGTCCATGCCTCCTCTCGGTTCCCCCTGCACCAAACGCTTGGTGTGGCTCCATACACTTGGAGGATCCAGTGCCAGGCTGGCCAGCTGTGGGAAAGCCCACTATTCCCGGAGGTCACTCCTGCTCCATCACCCACACCATCGTGGAGGCCAGGACCCCAGGGAAACCCCTGGACTGCCAGATAAGCCTGTTCATTCATCTCTAACCATTTAAAGCCCCCATCCGACCCCAGGATTCCTGGGCCAGTCTGCAGTGGCTCCTTTTAAGGGACCATGGCTCATTCATTTTCCATCTCCCCACCAGGCAGGGCTGGGTCTGTCTCGGTGGCAGACAGGTCCTAACATCAGGCGCAGAGCAGAGTCGATGTTTAAACACTAGCAGAATGATGGCTGGGAGGCTGTGGAGGGCATGAGGGGCCTTCCTGGGTCAAAGGCAAAGAGTGATTTTTTAAAATAAAGCCACTTTATTTACAGGTAATACAAAATAAACGACAGGACAAACTACTGTGCGGGGGAGGGGCAGCCCCCACAATAACCACCCTCCCCATCCCAGAGTAACTGATATAAAAAATAAAAAAGGCCCTAGATAGGGGGAGGGGCTGGGCTGGAAGCACCTTTGCTGGTTAGGACTGGGGCCTGCCGTCCTCTGCCACCCCGGTCCAGGACAGACTGGACCCTGGCTTGCTCCTCTCCGAACCCTGGGCCTGGCCAGGATGAAACACAGCTACAAGGGCAGTTCGTGGCCACTGCAGAGGCTCCCGGCCAAGGCTCCTGACTTCTGAGTCTGAAGAGTTGGGGTAAGGAGGTGGGTAAGTGACTTTGGGGGCAGACATGGGGTGGGCAATAAATTATTGCAGTGCTCCAGCCAACTTCCTCCTGGCCCTGGACGTGGGTCTGCACTAGGTTCCCAGGAGCAGCTGTGTCAGGGCGGGAGTATGGGGTCTTCAAAGTGATGATGTTGTCGAGTCTACCACCTCACGGCCATTGCAAACGGTGGGGACAAACTGGGAGCCAGACCCTAAGAAAAGGAAGCCAGAGGTTGGGGCCAACTCCGAGGTCCTCCATGGAGGGCAGGCAGCGGGGAAGCAGGGCTGTGATGGAAGCCTCCCCTCCCTTCTCCCATCCTCTCCTGCCAGTGTCATTTGAGGGGCACCTCACCCCCAGACAAGAGATTTCAGCAACCCAAGGAGCTGGACAGGGAGAGGGGAACAGGCAGAGAGGGCTGCTTACGACACCGACCTTGACCAAGGCTGGAGCTGGCCCTGGCAGCAGCACTGCCAAAGCGGCTGGTGGGCGCCCGGTGGCTAACCACGTTCTTCTGCGGCTGGAAGAGGATGATGTGCAGCTTGGGCGCAAAGAGGCAGCCAAGCACCACGGAGCCGCTGAGGCTGACCGACACGCACATGGTGGTGGTCTGTACCTGCGGTGGGTGAGTGGGTGAGCAGGCACAGGTCAAGACCTGGGCCTGACCCCAGGACCCCCTGCCCGGGCTGTGGGGGAGGGAGTGGGGGAGACTGAGCATCCAACACTGGGCTGTGGTCCATTTGCCAGGTCCCAAAGCATTGCTAGGAAAATTGGGCACAGTCCCAGCATCAGACCCAGACCATTTTCCCAGGATGACAAGAGTTCCAGCTGAAGGGGAGAACATGCAGGGGTGCATGTGTGCACAGGGGTGTGTGCATTTGAGGGGTGCAGGTATGGAGTGCATGCATGTCGGTGTGTGTGTATATCTGTGTAAGTGCACGTATGTGGGGTGGTGAATTTCTGCAGGTGTCTGCGTGAGTGTATGTGTGTGTGAGTGTAGGGTGCATGGATATGGATTCATTTGTTAGGAAGATATGTGTGTGTGTGCCAACGAGTGTGTGTATGTGGGATATGTGTGTGTGCATGCATGTGGCTATGTCTGTGTGTACGTGTGTGTGTGTGTGTGTGTGCATGCATGTATGGGTACAGTGTGTGTCCCAGGTGAGTCCTTAGCTGCCTGTGATTGGCATGCAAATGCAAATCATATGCAAATACAGGCTGAGTTAGAGCAAAATCCCTCCCCAGCCCTGGCCTCTACCACCCAAGCAGGTGGCCCAGCAGGTGCAAGCAGAGCAGCCAAGCCCAGCGGTCCCTGGCCCCCAGCACTGTGCCACCACACCTCTGTCCTGGGGAAGGGGCCTTTGCCGGGGCTTTCGCCTCAATTTTTCTGCAGTTCAGACCCTGCTCTGCACTGCCAAGCTGAGTGACCTTGGGCAAGGGATTGAACCTCCCTGAGTCTCTGTTTCTTCATCTGTAAAATGGGAGAGCCATGGAGCTTACTCAAGTCATGAAGATTAACCAAGATGACCCTCTTATTCAGGACACAGCTCTTCTGTCACCTCCTCAGAGAGGGCTTCCCTGACCACCCTATCTGAAGCAGTCATTGCCCCTTGGAGCTGGGGAGACCATTGAGACACAGTGCCAGTTGGAACCAAATTTGCTCAGAAGCCACCAACTGGGGAACAATTTTCACCTGCTTTAGCTTTTCTCAACTCTATACCACAGATCTCCTCCCCTACCCACCTTGCTTCATCTTTCCTGCCTTCCCTGGCTTCATCTCGCAACCCCTTCTGCAGCTGACCCCTCAGTGGAGCAGGGCAGAACCCTGTTCATTTGAACATATTTCTGCACCCCTATTTCCTCCCAGGATAGGGGATGACATGCAAGTCCTGAAATCCCAGCTCTCTCTAACTCGAGTTCCCCACCTCCCTGGCCATTTCCCTAGGCCCTATTCAGCCCTCCCACCTTCCCCTTGGGATCCACACAAGCTGTGGTCCCCTAAGTGGGCATTTAACCTCTTGGAGCTCCAGAGCTACCAGTAGATTAAATAAGATACCAGGAAACAGAGGGTCTGGTGTCCCATCTCCCCTGACCTCTGTGGCAGGTAGCTCACCCGGTAGTCACTGGAGGTGACGTAGAAGATGGGCAGGAATGCCAGCCAGATGATGCAGGTGGTGTACATGGTGAAGCCAATGAACTTGGCCTCATTGAAGTTTTCAGGGCACTTGCGAGTCTTGAAGGCATAAAGCGTGCAGAGTGCGATGAGGAGCACGTTGTAGGCCAGCGAGCCCAACATACTTGCATCGCGGTGGTTGCAACGCAGTGTCACCACCTCCCGCCGTTCGGGGGCCGTCTCCTTGCCTGTGCCCGGTGCCTCCACCACCAGCCAGGCGATCACAATGAGCAGCTGGCCCGAGATAAGCGCCAGGCAGATGGCCACCTGTGAGGCAGGACTGATGAAGCGTGGCCGCTGGGCACCCTCCCGGGCCCCACCGAAGATGCGTGCAATGCGGTTGGTCTTGGTGAGCAGGGCTGAGTAGCAGACAGAGAAGGCAGTGCCCAAACCAAGACGCCGTAAGGTACACACTGCCGTGGATGGCTTGGCAATGAAGATGAAGGTCATGCAGTAGCAGAGGAAGACACCACCCAGCAGGATGTAGCAGAGCTCCCGACCCGAGGCCTTGACCACTGGTGTGGCATTGTGCCGCACAAAGACACCCAGCACAAAGAGGGTGGCCAGAGCACCCAGGCAGGCGATGGTGACAGGTCCCACGGCCCAGGCATCGCCCCAGCGGATGTACTCCTGGGGAAGTTCAAAGCAGCCAGTCAGGCTGGCATTGGGCCAGTAGCCCAGGCCACAGTCGGCACAGGTGAATTCGTCCAATCGGTACTCATAGGGCTGGCACGGGATGCAGAGCCAGCAGCAGACCTCGCCCGGCTGCACACTCTTCACCTCATTTCGGAGGCAGGGCTCACTGCAGCGAGAGGCGGGCAGGGGGCCGGCTGAGGGTGAGGCCCATGGGATGAGGCTGGTGTCCAGAGTCAAGCCTTCTGCCCAGTAGCCCACCTTCTGGTAGCGATAGCGCCCACTGCCTGCACGCAGATAGGTGAAGATGTTGTAGCGGCCAATACCATCACCAAAGCGGTCAAAGCGGACCTCATTGTGGGTGTCAGCTGGGCGAAAGGGGGCTAGGATGGGGAAGGGAAGGAAGAGAAGATTGGACTAGTGTGTTACCCTGATGTGACCTCAACATCCACCCTAACATGGAACCCAAACGCCAGAGCTAAGGCCACCATTAGCCCTTCCAATCCTTAACCCAATACTAAATCCTGTCTTGACCCCAGTCATTTTTCTAAATGAGAGATGACAACAAAGTCTTACTCCTAAACTCCAACATCAAACCCCAACCCTAAATGCCAAATGTAATCCCAGCCTTAAAGCCCAGACATCTCCAAAAACCTAATGCCCACATCAATCCCCAACCATGACTCCCCAAATTCAACTTTAGTACTATCCAACACTTTCCAACCCAGGCCCCAAATCCCAACTTCATCGAAACATACACTACAGCCCTCTCCCCAGACTCAATGCTAAGGCTAAACCCAGTCTCAGTTCCAATCCTGTCCCCACTAATCCTAACAACAACCCCACCTCCAGCACCCCCAGTCCTAATAGTCATCCTGGTGCAAACTGAATCCCAACCTCAGAGGTCACCTGCAACCACTGCCATTCACCAGAATGTGCTCAGTGGCTGGAAAATCACTTCCTCTCTCCACCCCCACTTCATCCCTCACATCTCCCAGCCAGGCTCTAGCCAGAATTTACAGCCATCCCTAGCCCCAGTGAGAAATCAGGGTTCAAGAAAGCAAAAGACATGCTTAAGGCCCCATGAGTGAATAGTGCAGCCTAGATTCAAACCCAGGTCCCCTCAAGCACCTACTCTTTCTACTCAGCCTAAAAGTTCTCAAAATCCAACTCTAGCCCTACCATAAATGCCACCCAAGTCAAACATGCTGAATTTAGCCTTGCTCTAACATCAGCCCAATTGGACCCCAGACTCCAACCCTAACCCCTACGCTGATTGTAGCATAACTCTGAATGTCACTTCTATTGGAATTACTCTTCATCTTAACCCTGAGCCAGGGCTTCCAAGCTTTGTCTCCCACTGTTCCCATGGTGATTCTTCCTGAAGCATAGTGATGATCTGTAGCACTCACTTCTCTTAAAGCTGGCACTCTTGTTAAAATAACTTTTGATTTCAGGAGACTTTCAGGTCACCTTGAGCGGAAAATCAAGATTAGGAATAGAAATTTTCCCTGAAGCTAGGTGCAGTGACACATGCCTGTCATCCTAGCTACTCTGGAGACTGAGGCAGAAGGATCACTTGAGCGCCAGGAGGTGGAGGCTGTACTGTGCTTGTGAATAACCACTGCATTCCAGCATGGACAATATAGTGAGACCCCATCTCTGAAAGAAAAAGAGAGAGATAAAGAAAGAAAGAAAGAGAGAGAGAAAGAAAGGAAATAAAGAAAGAAAGAAAGAAAGAAAGAAAGAGAGAGAGAGAGAAAGAAAGAAAGAAAGAAAGAAAGAAAGAAAGAAAGAAAGAAAGAAAGAAAGAAAGAAAAAGAAAGAAAAAAGAGAGAAAGGAAAGAGAAAGAAAGGAAGGAAGGAAGGAAGGAAGGAAGGAAGGAAGGAAGGAAGGAAGGAAGGAAGGAAGGAAGGAAGGAAGGAAGGAAGGAGAAAGGAAGGAAGGAAGGAAGGAAGGAAGGAAGGAAGGAAGGAAGGAAGGAAAGGAAAATAATACGAAGGAAGGAAGGCACAGTTGAAGGGCTAAATGTTGTTGTTGTTGTTGTTGTTGTTGTTGTTGTTGTTGTTGTTGTTGTTGTTGTTGTTGAAGGAAGGAAGGAAGGAAGGAAGGAAGGAAGGAAGGAAGGAAGGAAAGAAAGAAAGAAAGAAAGAAAGAAAGAAAGAAAGAAAGAAAGAAAGAAAGAAAGAAAGAAAGAAAGAAAGAATATAGTGTCATCCTGATGCTCACCCTCAAGCCAGACTGATTCTAACTCTCACTGGTGCCTGAGAATGGGCTTGAGGTCTCCTGGTCTCCACCTTTGGCAAGATAAGGAGATAGAAGATAGAGGGCAGGGCCCAAGGAGGAGCCAGAGACCCTCAAAATGGCAGCACCAGGCCAGAGGTCTACTCTCTGGAAGAAAGTGGAACCTCAGCCCTGGCTTCAGTTGGAGTCCTCTCTGCCTAGCATCCTTGCCCTGGCTCTGATGCCACTCCTGGGTGAGTCCTTTACTTTCACTCTACTGTTTCCTTAGCAAAGGAATGAAAGCTGAAGGCCTGCTTCCCCTCATCCTCTGACAGCCAGCAGGCCAATGGACACCGGCCAACAACATTACCATCAAACTTGACGTTGAGCACAAAGTCCTTGTAGAGGCGGCGCCCGTTGACTGGCCGCATTGCGTCACAGAGCCGGGTGGTGTTGGGGCAGAGGGCACGGTGCATGTTGTGGAGCGCGTGGGCCATGGCATACACTGCATTGACCACAAACATGATCTTAGACTCCTGCTCAAAGGGCACAGCCCGGAGAGAGTGGACTGCGCAGTCTCGCTGCCGGAAGCTGCAGCGGAACCTCTGCTCCCAGAATTCACGGAACCAGGGATTCCGGCTGTTGTTCCAAGGGTCCAGGCTCTGGAAGTAGGAGGCAAAGTCACTGATGGGGTAGGAGGCCAGCTCGATGGTGATGGCACCCTCAGCAGCCCCCTCACTGCCTGCCACCACACTCTCCAGGGCCCCCCAGCCATCACTGGCCACCCAGGTGAAGCTGGCATTAAGACGCTGGCTGGCAGCAAGCAGCTCCCGGGCATCCTCAGAACGGGTGAACAGGACAGCCACGCGGGCACTGGGCTTCTGCAGCAGGGCTCGCACCACACCCTCAAAGGCTGCACGGTTCATGGCACGGCCCACTTTCTCCGAGGTGGCCACACAGATGTTGCGGGCACGAGCCTCTAGCTCAAAGGCCTCAATGCCTGTCTCGCCATAGTCGCCCTCAGACGCCACAGTGGACACATAGGTCCAGTTGAAGAAGCGGAGAATCTCAGCCATGGCCTTGGCTTGGAAGAAGTCAGGGGGCACTGTGCGGGCAAAGTAGTCATAGCGGGACTTGTCACTCAGCTTGGCACTGGTGGAGGCATAGCTGATCTGCGGGATCTGAAATAGCCGCAAGAGGTTGGCCACCTGGGGGAGGATTAGAGAAGGCAAAGATCAGAGGTCAGATCAAACACTAGAGACAGGTGGATCCCCCACAGCTAGCAGGTCTTGGTGTCAAGTGTCCGCAAGGTCAGCCCTAAAGGCTCCCTCTCTAAAGCCCTGCATCCCGACTTGACAGTCTTCCCTCTGGGGTAGGGAGTTTTTTAAATCTCTTTCCAAGGGCTGAGGGAGAGAAGACCCAGGGCTGAGACACCAGGGTCGTGAGCCACACCTGATCCCCTCTGCCATCCCCTTTTAGACACATGGCAGGGGGGCCAAGGGAAGGCCTGGGTGGAGGAAGGTTGGCACCTGGCTACACTGGGGCAGAGGGAGGCATGAGATGGCATCTGGCTACTCAGAGCTCTTTGGCTCTCTACTTATTTGAGGGTGGGTAGCCCTTCCCCTGAATCAGTCTGACAGAATGATACAGAAAGAAGGAAAGGTTCCCTCAGGAAGAAAGACACAGATCCCAGGGTCCCATGACCCTAATAGTCCAAGGCTTGGTCTCCATTGGATGCCTGAGTCTTAAATAAACAAGGTTTCTGCTCTACCACTGGCTTCCTGGCACCCCATCTTCCACCCTCAGGTCCCACAGGAGTGGGATCCAGCCAAGGGCCAGGTAGAGGGTGGGTAGGTGAAAGCAGAGCACAGCTCAGATTCTACAGCAGAGAGTGAGTCTTGTGTTGCAACTGGATACAGTCTATGGCTCTGACAGTCTAGGGTTCAATGTCTCCTCCCCTCCCACACGTTCTACCTTTGGGCCCCTGGAGTTGGGAAATCTCCCTGAGCCTCAGTTTCATGTCCCTGCCCTACAAGGCTGCTGAGAGGATAAAAACGATAATGCATGGGAGGCCACAGTGCCTGGCAAAGGGAAGATGATAGGGACATGGGCAAGAGAGAAGGAGCAGCCTACGGATAACAGGCTAGCCTCATGTTGATCAGGACAAGGGAGAAGCAGACCGCTGCTGAGGCATGGGTCCTGATCCAGAAGGCAGGCAGCTCGGGATGGCAAGCAGGTAACTGGACTTCTGGAGATAAATACATGGGCCCTAAGGAGAACTGTGGAGAAAACATCAGCAGAGGTCCTGGAAGACAGCAGCAGGTAGGAGGCCACCCACTCATCCCTGCTCCAACCCAGGGCTGCAGAGGTAGATGCTAGCAAGCCACATTTTCCCAGGCTGCTGCCTAGCCACCTCCAGTGACTGGGACTAGCAGGACAGATAATCCACTCCCAGCAGTGGACAGCGTGGCCAGGCCTCCCCGACTCCAGGCCAGTAACTGACTCCAGGGTTCTGATTGCTGCTTCTGCTCCATTTCTCCCGAACAACTGTTCCAGGATAGGAGGCCTGGCCCTCTCCATCACGACAATGCCCTCAGTCACTCTCCTATAGGAAGCTGAGGCCCAGCCAAGGCCTACCTTATGTCCCCCAGCCCTGATCCTAGCTCCAGCCACATCTTCCAGCAGCCTGTGCTGGGCACTTGGCAAACGGGAATCTGGGTGAGAGGCAGGACCCAGTCAGAGACAGGAGGATTACAGCTGGGCACAGCCCTGGGAGCAGCAGAGGGGTCAGCGGGGCCAGCAGCCTCTGCTGAAGCTGAACCACAGGGCACCCTCTGCTGGCCCCTGTGGGAAAGTAGGAGGCTAAGGGCAGGGGAGCTGGCTCCCCACCCTTCCCACCCCCTCAAATCCTGTGCCCCCTGAAGACTCTCTGGTACCCTCACCCGACACATTCTGTTTATCTTCCTCCTGACTCCTCTGCCCTGATTCTCTCCTCTGGCCACTCCTGGCTTCTATCTGGCCACCCCTCTCCAATCCAGGCAGAGATGATCTGACAAGTCAGGAGTCCCTTGGCCAAGAGCCGATTTCACAGCTCCCCTCCACCACTGCCTTGAATGTGGCCCACCTCTCTCTGAGCCTTGGTTTCCTCATCTATAAAATGGGTTAAAAATAATAGCAGCTAATATCAACTGTGCCCTTATGACTTGTCAGGCCCCTGATACATACTATGCATGTATCAACTCATTAAATTTCCATGGCAAACCTAAAAGTAGAAAGTATTGTGGGCCGGGCACAGTGGCTCACGCCTCTAATCCCAGCACTTTGGGAGGCCGAGGTGGGTGGATCACCTCAAGTCAGGAGTTTGAGACCAGCCTGACTACTAAAAATACAAAAATTAGCCGGGCATGGTGGCAGGCGCCTGTAATCCCAGCTACTTGGGAGGCTGAGGCAGGAAAATCGCTTGAACCCGGGAGGCAGAGGTTGCAGTGGGCTGAGATCTCACCACTGCACTCCAGCCTGGGAGACAGAGCAATATCTTGTCTCAAAAAAGAAAACAAAAAAAGAAGTGTTGTGAATCCAATTTTATAAGGAAGAAACTGTGACACAGAAAAGAGAAGTAACGTGCCAGGGTCATGCAGTTAGTAAGTGGGGAGACCTGGCTATTAAGCCCCTCAGGGTTGTTTAACATCAAGGGTGAGGGTGTGTGTGTGTGAGAGAGGGTGTGTGTGGGGGTGTGTATGGGTATGTGTGGGGTGTGTGGGTGTGTGTGTGGGTGTGTGTGGGGTGTGGGTGTGTGTGGGGTGTGGGTGTGTGGGGGGTGTGGGTGTGTGTGGGGGGTGTGAGGGTGTGGGTATGGGTGTGGGTGTGTGGGTGTGTATGAGGTGTGTGGGTGTGGGTGTGTGTGGGTGTGTGGGTGTGTGTGGGGGTGTGGGGGGTGTGTGTGGGTGTGTGTGTGTGTAGGGTGTGTGTGTGTGGGTGTGTGTATGTGTGTGTGAGTGTGTGTGTAGGGTGTGTGTGGCGGGAGTAATGGGAGTAAGATGTTCTCCTGCACAGTCTCTAAAAATCGACCGCCATTATGTGACCAGGGCACTTTCTTAGCTTCTGTAAAAGCTACTGCAGGGGAGCTTCTAGTTTCCCTTTTCAGCAGGAATTCTGGGTCACCACCTCTGGCCTCCCTCCCTAGTCCCCATTTGGGTGGCCTCCACGTACCTGGATGGAGACATCACTGTAGGAACCGCCAATAACACCAGTGATGGCAGTGGGAGCATCACCATGGGTGGCGTAAGAGCCGTCGGGGCAGATGTGGCGTGAGCCATCAGCACCACGGCTGAGTGAGGCACGCACAAAGTCCAGTGCCTGCTCCAGCGCATGTGTGTCCTTGGAACAGCTGTCGAGGATGTGCGCACCCAGGCGCACGCCAGGCAGCAGGTGCGGGTCATGGTTGATGCGGTCCAGTGCAAAAAGCATGGCCTCCAGGCGCTGGATGCCACGGTGCTCATTGACAGGACCACAGTCCTCTGCTGGGCCGCCCTTCTGGTGCACTGGGAACAGCCCACCCAGCACCAAGTCTCCCTCCAGGGTCAGCACCTTCTTGGCTGGGCCCTCAGCCACAGCACCCCACAGCAGCAGCAGTGCCAGGAGCCCAAGCAGTGATCCCATGGCCCCAAAGGGGATGGATGGGTCCAGCAGACCTGGGTCTCCAGGGGATGAGATTAGAAGCAGCGAAGGCAAAGAGAGGAGGAAACAGGGACCAGGAAAGGACAGACAAGAAGAGAGATGCGAAGGGACCCAGCTCCTGCAGAGATACAGAAAGACAGAAAAACAGACCAGGAAAAGTGGAGCCTGAGAGCAGTTGCCCCTTCTGACTCTGCCTCCCCACAAGCCCCTTTCCTGGGTACTCAAGAACCAGGGACAGGATGGTGTCATTAAGTAGGTTGAGAAGCTCCTGGGACTCCCCTGGGCCTGTCTCTCAGCCCTGGCCTCAGCTGGGTGAGAGATGGGCCCTATTCACCTACCAAACTCAGCAGTGGGGAGGGATGCAAGCAGTGAAGTCCCAGGCAGAGGACAGGAGACCCTAGCCAATGCTGACCCCTCCCCATAAATTAAAGGGTGTCCAAGAACAGTACAAACCTCCCAGGATCCCGAGGTCAATACCTTTGGAACAGACTATGTCAGAGTTACAAACTCAGAGGTCCCCATCCTGAGCCTTGAATTTCCAGAGAGAAGGAACTGCTGTCTAAGGACCCACCAGGGAAGAGGAAAAGACAGTCTCTAAGGGACAGTCTCCAACCCGTGGGGAGACTGGAGCCCATGTGAACACCCAAGGGTCCTAGCCTGTGGTTCTTAAAAAGCCATCCCCACAGTTTCCTGACTGAGGAAGAAATAGAGACACTAAGCCCTGGGAATGAGACAGCAAGGTAGAATGGCTGGCCTCAGGGAGGGTACCCAAGTGGCTCAAGGTCCTAAGTCAACAGGGCAAGCAGATGTTCGTGTATGTGTGTGTCAGGGTTGGGGGCCAGAGTCTCCAAACAGTGCTGAGGGTGAGAGTGCGGGACTCTCTAGCTCTATGTAGAACGCTGTTTGAGACTTTGTGCCTCTGTTTTCTCTTCACTCCCAACCCAGCAGAGAAAGTCACCATTTCCAATCTCCCCATCCTCAGCTTCAGGGTCCTGCCCACCCTAGCCATGGCCCTCAGAGACCCCCTCCCTGTCTCTTCCCCACTGCGTCCTATCATTTGTACCCCAGTTGCCTTCCCACACACACACCCCACAAGGCTCTCACAATCACACGGGCGTGGAAAGGCTGGGAGAGAGACATACCTCTTTCCTCAGAACAGGAAAGGAAACTGAGTTTGAAGAAGGGCAGCAACTAACTCAGGGACCCCATGTGCTGGCCACGGAGACTGGGCCTCTCCATTTTGCCCCTCCCCAGGGCAGGGGCACTGGGTTCCTCTGGGGATCAGGAAAGAAGCAGCTCACCCAGGCAAGCGAGGGAGAAGCGGGGAGGAAGACCAGCACAGATGGGGACAGGGACCCAGATGGGGGCTGAGGCCAAAACTGGTCAAGTCGCAAGCCTCCCACAGGGGAGGCCCAGATAGAAGCTCAGAGGCAGGAAGGGGACAGAAACCCGGAGTCAGGCAGCCGGGGGCCTGGGCCACAAAATCTGGGCAGGGAGCGAGCAAGCCTGAGAGGTTGAGACAAAGACGGAGGCACAGACAGAAAGAAGGACCAGAGGACGTTGGAGCAGGAGGAATGGGAGAGCGCGATGCGGGGCTTGCGTTTTCTGGAGAAGAAAGGCGGGACGCCCGGGGCTGTCTTCCCGCCTCCCGGAGCTCGCAAGGAACGTTGTCTGGACACCCCAGTGCGGACGCCCCACAACTCGAGGGCCCGCGGGGCCCTGGGACGTAAGGTAAGGGCCAAAACGATCGGCAGCGGCAGCGGCACCGCCGGCTCACCCTACCTGGCGCGCCCGGCTCTGGCGCGGAGAGAACCGGAGTGGAGCTGGGGGCGCGGGGTTCCGGCTCCCGCTCGCTCGCTTGCTCGCTGGCTCTGCGCTCTCCGCCCCTGCGCTCTCCTCCCGCCCGCTCACCCCGCAGCTTTCAATCGCGGCCCGCCCCGCCCCCGGCCCCGGCCCGCCCCCAGCCCCTCCTCCGTTCCTCCCAACTCCGGGTCTCCTGCTCCCAACCCGGCCTCCGCCTGCCTCTGGACCCTCCACGCTCTTGCTCTTCTCGGGACCTCAGGACCTGGAGCTGTCCGCCTCGTGGTGCTGAATCCCGGAGCGCTCTCGCTCTGCGCTGGAGCAGATGCTTGGTGGCCCACTCCGCTCCATAGTCAGACTACCACCTAGAGAGCACAGGTGCGGGGCGGGGGGATGCCACGGGGCACGGGATGGGGAGGTCACTGCGCCCCAACAGGTTCACATAGTGCTACTGCAGAGTGGAGGAGCTGGCCCTAGTGCAAGGGGTGCCTCTGGGGGATAGGTAAAGTGGCGCGTGGGAGACGGGTGGAGGCTATTCTCCCCACCCAGCCATTTCAGCTGGGTCTACATCCCAGGCCTGAGGTTGAGGCATGTGTCCTCAGTCCCTTGTGAGAGCTGGAGACCGAGTCACTAGGAGGAAAAGATTGGGGGAAGGGAGAGGTCAGAGGAGAATGGGGCTTCCCCTTCCTTCCTGCAGATGCCCTTTAAACCTGCCACCCACTCCCATGTAAAAAGGGTATTTAAGCAAGGAGAGAGCAACATGCAGGAAGGGTTGCAGAACCAAGTACTAGGGTCAACCCTGAGGGAGTGTTAGGGGTGGCAGGGGGATCTGGGAGGGGAGGGGCCTGGGGAAAGGCTTCTGGAACTGGCTGCTGCGTAGGAGGGAGTGAGAGCTGGAGCCCAAGCAGAGGGAGGACAGCTCTGAGATGCTCTTGACTCTTCCCTCCCACAGCAGGATGGGGAAGGACGCCCCTGGGTAGAGGGTAGTGGATAAGCTGTAGTGCCAGACTGTGCTGAAGGAATGGGGATTAGAGAGCCTGTGCTATCTGCCCCTAACATGTGCATACACTTAACAAGTGCCAAGGGGCATGGCATCCCCTACACACATTCCCCTGACACTGCCCTTTCTTCCACAAGTGTCAGTGGAAGCAAGCCCAGCTCAGATACATGCTAATGAACATGCCAAGCCCAGACCCCTCAGACACATACACCCACTTGTGCATGTGGCAGTTCGTAGGGGGGCCGGGGGTGATCACCAAGGACGAGCTTTTTCCCTGGACACAGAAACCCGATGCCCTGCTGCTGTGGGAAGAACACAGCTTTGAAACAAAACAGACACATCAAACCCAAACAAACACAAGCCCCATCACTAACAGGAGACAAGGTGGCAGTGGGAGACAGACATGCTGTCTTCTACCTCCAACTCTGCCACCGGCTGCTCTCACCCTCTCTGGCTGTCGAAGAGCAACCGCTCCCTGGGGTAGGTGAGCAATAGGCCAGGCCTCTGTTGACAGCAGGAGGGTGCTGAGGTGAGGAATCACACACTCCTTCTAGCCACACTCCCAACCAGCTCTACAAGTCAGCCTCACAAAAGGCACAGGGCTGTAAACACAGATATGGCTATGTACAGCACCAGTCAGAAAAGCCCATGATGTGGCCTGCAGCAAACAAGCTGCACAGTCACAGCTCATGGACACACAGTTACACACAGCTAGGCAGCCACTACTCCCAGCTGTGTGCACACAGATGAGGACATACACCTAGCCTTACACACAGTTGTACATGTGGACATGGCCACATACACAGTACATGTAAACATGCAACCACACACAGCTATACTTGTAGACAGCAATAATACACATGGGCACACCCCTGCCCCTAAGAACATGTGACCATGTCTACACACGGCTGCACATGTGGACACAGCCACATATATACAGCTGCTCACACAGACATGCCACAAATAGCTGTACACCAAAACATGTCCACACATACATCGCCATAATTATGGATACACAGCTGCACAGAGCCATAGCTTTTATACGTGGACACAGCAAAACACATAGCTTTATACATGAACATCATGAACATCACCCCACACACAGTTGCACACACAGCCACACACAGTTGTATATGAACAAAGACCCCATAGAGATGCTGTTAGATGGCCTCACATGCTCCTATAATACAACCATACACAGACACAAAGCACAGCAATACACACACAAACACACACACACAGGCACACAGCCATCCACACAGACTCAGCCACACTCAGGTACAATCATACCCTGATGCTCACCTGGGCACAGCTTTACCCAAGCAGCCCCATCCGTGGTTATACAGAGCCAAATGCATGAGCATGGGGGCACATGCACACACACAGGTACACAGACACTGGTAGGCACAGTGGGGCAGCCTCGCCTACTGGGGAAGTACCAGCGTGCAGGCACACTAGAGCTACAGACACAAAGGCATCCCTTGGAGGCAGACGAAGACAGGCTGTGAGCTCCCCACTCCTGAGCCCTGGAGGGCACCCCATGCTCAGCTCTCACCCAAGCCAGGCTCTGCTTGCTCTCTGGCAACTGCAGTGGAGGGGCAGCTGGCCACTGGGGTCACAGAGTAGGAGGTGGAGGATCTCTAACACCCCTCCTCCCCCGACCCCAGGGTACCTTCCATGTTCCCTCTGTTCTTTGTCCTGGGGAGGGGAGGCTCCTTCCCACTCCCAGCCTATCTGTACAGCCACTCCCCGCCACCCCCAACCAAGGCAGAACTAACAAATACACAACCCAAATCCAGGTGAAACAAGTAAATCATTGGCTTTATTATGGGTCCTGGAAGCTCCGACGTGAGTCTGAAAAAAAGACACAACAGGGGCGGCAGCCCTGAGGGCTGATGCAGAAAATAGTCCCTGGCTCCTTTGGCCCTGGGAGCCTAAAGGGCAGTGAGGAGAAGGCGTAGCAAGAGGCCTGGAGCAGGGGAAGTCAGGTCCCTCAGGAACCCCTCCTCCCCTAAAGGAAGAAGAAGGCTGGAGAGTCTGCTGGAGAGTCTGCTCAGTTCCTCAGCAACTGCACTGCAGGAGGGTGCAGGTCACGGGTTACTCCTTGCCCTTCTCAGGAGCACTGGGCTCCCAGGGCCACTTGGTAGTCCCCAGGGGCTCAGTCTCAGGGTCCAGCCGTGACTCCCCTAAGGGCCCCTCACCCTCCAGGTCCAGCTCCTCAAAAGAGGAGCCGCTGGCACCTGACTCGCTGTAGCTGTGCTCGCTGCGGGTGTCACCATCATCCCAGCCACGGCTGCTCGCCCCAGGTGACAGTGTAGCAACTGAAGTCTCCCGGCTGCCAGGGCTCACCTCCAAGCTTACAGAACTCGTGTCACTCATTGTGTCAGCTCCTATGGCCAGGAAAAGGGAGCACAGGTTAGCCAGGACCATCCCACCCCCTCCTCCAGGGAGAGGCAACTCAGCACACAGTGCACTCATGAATAATGCAGCCTCCCGGGCTCAGGGGGCTCGCTCCAGCTGCCCTCTGTCTTCTACCCTGACTGGGGCTGCACAGACAGGGCAGAGGGAAAGAGCGGGGAGGGAGGGAGGAGGTAGCTGTGCACTCCTCTCCCCACCCTGAATTAGCCTCAGCTCCCTGCACTTCCACACAGCCTGCTGCCCTCCCCCCTACATTTATTAAGGGCCACTCAGCCCTGAGGTGAGGAGCTGAGATAGAACAAAGAGACCCATGTAGTGTCCCCTCCACCTTCCCCCAACCCCATTTCAAGCTTGGAGAGAGATGTATCCAGGGCCAGCTACAGAACATCACCCAAGGGCATGAGGACTGCAGAATACAGCAGGAGGCCCCTCTGCAGCCCTCCCCCATGCAGGGCTCCCAGGAGCAGCATCCAGGGAGTCAGCAGGCCCCTGCCTCTGGCCCACACCAAGTCCCCACTTGAGGGGGGAGCTGAAGTATGAGCAGGATGGAGAAGGCCTGAGAAACACTCAACCAGCTGCAAGGAGGAGGGTGCTGGGATGAAACATGTTGGCTTTCTCTCCCTATGCCTGGGCCGACCCTGAGAAACCCTTACCCACCCCACCCCCAACGACTGGTGCTTCCTGAGCCACAAGATAGCAAAAGCAGATGATGAGAGCACTCTGCTGGTGGTTGGGGTGCCCCAAACCACTGCTGAGCCAGGCTGATGGCCCAAACCCCTTCTAACCTGCTCCTTCCACCCCCAATACATCCTCCAAACAAGCAGCCCCTTCATCTGCCCTGTCCAGGAACAACCCCTGGGTTCATCTCCCTGGATCAGAGGCACTGAATGCAGGCTGGGGTGGCAAGGAGGAACATAGGGCTCAGGCCTGCTGTGTGCAGGAATCCAGACTGGGAGAGAGTGGATCTGCTACCCTTCATGTGTGATGGGGAGAGGGTCAGCTGTCAAACATCACAGAAGGTGAGGGGTGGGTCAGCTTCCCCAGTCGCTGTTTCCATGGTGCTGGAGCCAAGCCAGGTGCAGCTGGGGTCTGCCTGGCACCTGGACTCAGCCTGGGGCTTTCCTTGAGCCTCAGCTGGGGCCTAGGTTAGGGGTGGGAGAATTAGGAGGTGGGGGAATTTGGGGTCTCTCCCTACCCCTACCACCCACTCAGTCCCCAGAATATGCCCTCTGGGTGCTACTGGCAGAGGTGAGGTGAGTCCTAGAAGCCCAGGCTGCTGGCTCAGGGCTCTCCTCCTGCTGAGGCCCCAGGTGTGGCTCCCAGGACAGGGGCCTGTGAATGAGGTGGTAGGGGAGAAGTGGGGGAATGAGTTTTGGGTAGTTTCTTCTGACCAGGGGACAGGATGCCAGGCCCTCACTGCTCCTTAAATAATGATCAGTGCCCTAGGGGCTGCAGGCCTGAAAAGAGCAAAGGAGGGAGACAGTTTCTCCCTGGCCCTATTAAACTATATGTTCTGTCTGCCCACCCACTCAATGGCTCTCTTGGGACCCCAGGTACAGGAATGTGCCTGCTTCCCAGCATGCTACCTCCTACCACCCAATTCCTAGGCTAGGAGTGTTCAGAGGAAGGAGCCTAGGGGTGCCACCTTCAGGCCAGGACAGCCTGCTGAGATGAAGACAGCCCCTGGGGACATATATACACTTCAAGCAAAGGAATTCAGCTGGAGGCCAGGCACAGTGGCTCACGCCTGTAATCCTAGCACTTTGGGAGGCTGAGGTAGGTGGATCACATGAGGTCAGGAGTTCCAGACCAGCCTGGCCAACATGGCAAAACCCCATCTCTACTAAAAATACAAAAATTAGCCAGGCATGGTGGCAGGCACCTGTAATCCCAGTTACTTGGGAAGCTGAGGCAGGAGAATCGCTTGAACCCAGGAGGCGGAGGTTGCAGTGAGCCAAGATCATGCCACTTCACTCCAGCCTGTGCGAAAAAGGAAAACTCCATCTTTAGGGGGGAAAAAAAAAAAAAAAAGAAGGAATCCAGCTAGGCATGGTGGCTCATGCCTAGAATCCCAACACTTTGGGAGGCTGAGGCAGGATCACTTGAGCTAACAAGTTCAAGGCCAGCCTGGGCAATATGGCAAAACACCATCTCTATAAAAAATACAAAAATTAGCCAGGCGTGGTGGTGCACACCTGTTGTCCCAGATACTTAGAAGGTTGAGGTGGGAGGACAGCTTAAGCCCGGGAGGCAGAGGTTGCAGTGAGCTGAGATCTTGCCACTGCACCACTCCAGCATGGGCGATAGGGTCAGACCTTGCCTCAGAAGAAAAAAAAAAAAAAAAAGCAATACAGGGAAGTAGCATCCCTATAGCCCCACTAAGATTTACACAGGAGGAGGTCCAAGAGTCCCATGCTTGCACCCCTGGGGAGAAGATACCAGGCAAGGCAGGGCCCTACCTAAATCCCCAGGGCTGCTGAGGCAGGGGATTTGAAGCCCACCCCCTTCACCCCAATCCCTCCCTCCCACTCTGCCCACAGCCAGTGCAAGATGATCAAATATTCATCGCCTCTCTGGAGCTAAATAATACATCAATGTAGTAAGAGGCACAAGGCAGCTAATCACCCCCTTTCACCTCTCAGCCCGAGCTGGGGCCACAGCAGGGAGGTGGGCAGGGACAGGCCAAGCCTTGAGCAGTCAGACACCCTGCATGCACCCACCACCAACTGCTGTGTCAGTGGCATGCACCTGGCGGGCAAACACCGAGTCCCCCTGGGGTGTCACGACAGGCCCTGTGAGAGGCAGGCAGACCCCTTGGTCCCAACACCAGGGAGTAGGTGGGCGGGCTGGAGGGGAGGAAAACAGGCTGAGGAGCTGGGGAATGTGGAAGCCGCTGCTGCAGCCAGCTGTAGCGGGTGCCAAGCAGTCCTTCAACGCCCCTGGCAGGCAGTGTTTGGGAGGGAAGGAAGCTGGGTGGGTGGGTCAAGGAGGGGGAGGCTGGCAGCAGAGGGAGGTCACAGGAAAGTGAAGGCACTTTGTCTTCCTGCCCTGGAGGCTGCCTGGGCCTGCTGACCTTGTGCCATGTCCTGTGCCCACAGTAGGGGAACTGAAGAGTGTCTGCTGGGCACTACCAGGCAGAAGGGAACTGTACCCCATGGAGGTAATTAAGTGGCAGATGAAGTTAACTGTGTTGGACACAGGCCCCTAGGGAGTAGAGACTGCTCCCAGTACCCTCCTGTCCAGCCCTAGCTGACACACATCTCCCTAGGGTGACCTTGGCTGTTGACTGGATGGGCAGATCATCTGTTAAAGAAGGAGGGGAGGAGGGACAGTTCCTCTCCCCACAGCCCTGTACCACTCCTAGAAGTCACAAATTCCACCAGGTTGGCCAAGAATAAGGCCCCCTGGGACCATCTGGGATGTAACCCAGCAGATCCCCTTGTGCCTGAGACAGCCCGGGGTCACAGAGATCATTGCAGAGAGGTGGGCAGGCAAGCAGCCTTCCAGCCTGGACCTGGGGCCTTGAGGCTGCCAGCAGGAGTGTGGACTGGCCCTGAAGGATGGCACAGGGGACAGATCTCCTGGCTCCCCTCTGCATGCTCCCTGGTTGTTCCCTGGCAGGGAGAAAGCAGCTGGCTCTGGGTGGGGGCCGTACTGAGGGACAGGAGAACACTTTGCTCCCTTCCTTACCTTCCAGATCTATGCCAATCTTACTTCCTGCTGAGCCCCACCCAAGGGACTCCTTTCCTGAGCAGCCTCAGCCCCCTCCCATGAACATCAAGTTGTCTGTGATCTTTGTTTCCAAGGGTACTCCTGCTGCATCTGGAGGGAATCCAGGCAGGGTCTTTGTATCTGTGTTGCCAGGAGGTAATGTGTGTGAATCCAGATCTATGTAGATCCATGGTCTGGGAATAGGCAACGCCACATGTGGGTCCTCGGGTAGGTGGGTCTCCTTCCTCCCTCTGCCAAGCATAGCCTGACACCCACAGTGCCAACCCAGAGAGGGAGGAGCCTCCTCAACCAAGCCCCTGGAGTCCAGAAGAGAGGAGCTCCAGGAGGGCCCCATCCTCATACCCCAACTTCTGTACCTGTGCCATCCACCTGGGTGTCACTGGCCTCCACAAGCCCCCGCCATTTCCGCTCTGTCTCCTTCACCTCAGGCACATAGAAGTCTCCCTGCCGTGCCAGTGGGCACATGAAATGGATCTGGTCTTCCTGGTAGATCTCCAGCCGAGGATAGGCACACAGCTTCCGTGCCTAGTCAGAGAGTGGCAAAAGGTAAAATGAGCCCTACAGGGCCCCTGACTCACTTGTCCCTGGGTGGCCCCCAGAACTGTCTATTACCTATTCCGTCCCAGGGGTTGGTTCTGCCTCTCAACCTCTTCCAAGTTCCAAAGCCCTGCTGAGGGAGGCACACATAGATCACCCTAACAGCAGGGCCCCATAATCCAGAGTGCAATAATAGTCTGAAGACCAAGGACGACACCCTAGGGCAAGCGGTAAAAGAACCCAGGAGCCTGGCACTGCTCTCTTATGTGTACATCTGAGACCAGAAATCTGTTCCAGAAGGCACTGGTCTCACAGAGCCATAAAGTTTGGCACCCCTGGACCACCCCAGGATAGGGACCCCATGTGCCCAAGCCAAAGTCTCACCTGCCAGACTTTCCATCCCAGGACCCCCTGGCCCTGACCTCCTCTCCACCCTGGACAACGCTGACTGACCCATAGATATCAGAAGACCAGTACCCTCAGTCCTTAGGCCTCCAGCCCTTGCTCTTGCAGACATGCTACTATAGACCCTGAACAAGGATCAAGGCCAGTTAAACACCACTTCCACTCCCATTCATTCCCCTGCTAGTTCAGATCTATATCAACCTCTGAGACTATCAGGTGTGGTTCCCATACCTCCTCACATATAAACCCAGGGTTTTAGCTGATGGGGAGGAGGGAGACCCTGGACTGGAAGGGCAGGTAAGACAAGTAGATCTAGCACAGGACATTACGCAATGGGCTGATGTACCACCTTTTGGGCCCCAAGTTCCAAAAGGCACTCCACCTCCCTCTGCCTAGACACAGAATCCAATGCTCTGATGTGTATGGAGGGGCACAGACATGCCAGAGCCACCCTGAGGCGGGCAGTGACAGCCAGAACAGGGGGTCAAGTGCTTCTCACTCACGGTCTGCCCCTCAACCTTTCCTGCGACGGAGCACAAATACCCACTAAGATGACTGCAAGGCCCCTGCCCTGTCACTGCTCACCCGCCAACCTTCACAACATGACTATTTATAGCACTCGCCCCACTCTCACCATGAGCTCTGAAATGAGCCTTCCACTTAGCAGTAATGAGAAACTTATTGCCTGGCAAGGAGAAGCCATTCCAGGACTCCACTTGTCCGCCTGCCTGGCCAACCCGAGGGTTGAGGAACCTCGTTCAACTAAAGCAAGCAAGCAAAGAACAGTTAAAAGCAAGCCCATGGATGATAAAGGGAAAGGGGAGTGAGCATGAAAGGTTTATCTAGCTAGTACCCTCAGCAGCCAGCTGGAGGAAGGGTGCATCTAGGAGGCCACGTGGGAGGTGGATGGCCTGGCCCAGGTCTGGTTGTGGCTCAGCCTCTGACTCCACGGGTGATCCAGGCAAAGCCTTTCATCCTAAGTCTCCATGTGCTCAACGGCAAAGCAGAACACCCCAACCCTGATGCTTCCAAGGTCAGTGAAGGAAAGTCATTATTTTTTAATAGTTGGATTCAAATCTTCTTTGCCAACCTGGGTGCCCTCGGGGCTTCTCCATCTCAAGAGTCCATGCCCCTGACACTTCCCATTTCTAAACACACAGATGGCTGTCTTTGCTTCTCTACCCACCCACATACCCACTCCAGCCTTGGTCTCCAGGAGGATGCTAAACAAGAACACAGTGTCAGGAAGCAGGAGCTGTCAGGCTCTGGGGCCCCTCCAATGCCAGCACTTAGAGGCAGGCATCTGCCAAACCTGAGCCCCACTCAGGAAACTGGGCCAGGTCACTGAGGCCAGGGGCAGGGAGGCCCCTGAAGAAGATCCAGGTCCTTCCCCAGTAGCTAGATGGAAGAAAAGAATCCCTGAATTTAGTCAGGGCATGGCCTTCACCAACATCCTCACACTCTGGACAAAGGGTCCAAAGGGTAGCAGCTGAGTGGCCATCACAAGAGCAGCAGACATTTGGCTTTTGGGGAAGATCCCAGAGGCCAGAGCCTGTGTCCACCCAGAGATTCCAGGGACAAGAAGGACCCTACCCCAACCCCTCTCAACACTCAAGCCACCTCCCTAGCTTCCCTTCTGGAGGAACTTGGCAGTAACAAGATGATAAGAGGGAGTACTGCTCTTTCCACCCTCTCCCCTAGGCTGGGCAGCACCAGGCTGCCACCCGGTGCCACCTGCTCTGCCAGCCCCCTTGTTGGCAGGCGGGAGGCAGTCTGCGGCTGTTCTGCGCATCTGCCTCCTCCGGAGAGCCCGGCTCTGAAGTTGCCTGGCTGTGGACAGCCCCGTTGCCATGGAAACTGCATCCTCCATCCTTGCCATCGCCTTCATCTCAAAGCCATCAGGGAGAATAGAGGAACAAGGGAGACAGCGGATGGAGAGAAAACTGTGGCCCTGCCACACAGCCCTTCCTTCTCTGCCCAGCTCTCCCTCCTCACAGCATCCCACACAGGGAGCACCAGGTCCTACAGCCTGTTCCAAGACCCCTGGAGGGGCAGCCTCAGGCCCAAAACTAGCCTGGTCCTACCCACTGTTACCTGGGGGCCCTGGTCCTCCCTACTGGAGGGAGGCATGGAGCTAATTAAAGTGCCATTGACTGTTCAGCCCCAAATCATTATAACACCAGGTCCTACCAAAATTCAGACTTGGGTAGAGAAGGGGCAGGAAGAAGGCAAAGGAGCAAACTTATAAGCCAGGCCCACAGGCAGAGAAGGGGCTTGTAGTTGCCCCTGGCCCTTCCTGGGAGACTGCTCTCCCTTCCATGCTTTGCCCACTGAGCAAAAACGAGTCTAGTGGGGGCTGGGGATAGAGGGTGAGGGGCAGGACGAGCTATATGCTCTGTCCCTGAGTGACCAGGCAGAGAGGACAAGCCCTTTCCCTCCCAGTCAGGTGCAACCTCAGAGGGAAGAGAGGGTGACCATGGGCTGGCTCTCAGGTCCTTGCTGCGCGGTAGGAGCCATGGCCCGGGCAATATGTCAATGAGCCAGTAAATATTGGAAAATCATTGGAGGAAGGCGAGGCCAGCTGCCTCTCCCTCAGCTAGCCCCAGGGAGCCCTTGGAGAGCAGACTGCCAACGGCCAAGGACACTAGCTCAAGATCACACTGGGCTGGCCCCTCTGGTGAAGAGCCTGGGTGGGCCTGGGGTCCTCCTACCCCTGGCACACCCCCTTCCACAGCCCAGACAGCCAGAAGTGTGTGGAAGCATTGCCAGGACATGAGAACATGCTCTGCCACGGACACCACTGGCCATCTGACAAACCCATAGCCCAGAGCAGCTCACTCCCACACACAGACCCAAGGAGACCATAAAGCCTCTTTCCAAGGTGGGAAAGTTGCAGATGTTCACATTCCTCTCCACCTAACAGGCAAAAGTCAGTGAATCATGCCAAGGTGCCGCCAATGACTGCCAGAAACTGGATTCAGAGTTCCGGTCCCTCAGGCACACCTCTGGGCCTTCCCTCCCACCTGGGTCTTCCACATGCAGAAACAAGATGGGGACTTGTGACACAACCCATGATGCAGGAATTTCTAAGAGACCCCAACCACCAGCACTTCCCCACCACCACCCCACCCTGCACCAACACCTGCTCACCCACTCAGGAGAGCTGGTAAAAAAGGGAAGGAGCAGCTCACCCACCTCACACAGGCTGCCACAGTGCCACTGCCTCGGCTACCCTGGGGACACACCACACACTCCCAACTCACCTCAGCCTCAGTTCGTCTCCTGGGTAGGGTGCAGGCATTTAGCCCATTCAGCTAAGGGCTCCCACAACAGGGCAAGACTGATACACCAGGCCAAGGTTTCCCCACAGGACCCACAGTGCCTCCCCAGCAGGTCTTTCTGAATTATGGGAGAGGAAGAAAAGAGATGAGAGAGGACCTGAACTATCCTCTTTTAGTGCTTTGTACTCAGGACATCACCCTGTGCCCTGGCTTCATCTAGGGGTTGGGAGCAAATCGAAGACAGAAGAGGTCAGGCCCAGGATGGAGGCTGATGATGGGTCCCACTCCCAGGCTACCGAGAGGCTGGAGGTTTGCTTAGAATTAGGTGGCTGCAGATGTCCAAAAGGAGGAGGCAACGTGTGGGCCAAGGACTGGGTCACATTTCCTACCTAAGCTCTAGAGGCCCAGAAAGGCATGAGGTCTGGCTGAGGGGCCCTGGGCCTTGCCTTACTGTTCACCCTGAGCTACCCAATCCTATGTATCCTTCTGTACCAGGCTGGACACCCAGGCAGCTGCACAGCCAGAAAGCAGCTGTTGCATCCCACCCGAGGTGGTGGCGTCTCCTTGCTGGGTGAAGTGATGCATGTTCGTTTTTAATTACAGACACCGACATGTACCTGCCTGCACACAGCAGTCCCTGCAAGTGAGGGCTCAGACCCTGGAGGCCCCTCAGGCAGCTGGTCTTCATGGCATGTGAATGCTTTGGGGAGGTATAGCAAGAGGCTGCAGCTAGAAGGTAGCAGGTTATTATTCTGCCCAGAAACTTTCCTCTCACCCCCACTAGGCTGCCTCAAAGCCTCTGGCCCAGAAGCTAGACCTGTCTGTTGGTGCTCTGGGGCCTTGCCACACCAACAGGGAGAGCCTGCAGAAGGGCTGGTGAGCACTTCCCCTCTCTCTACTCTCCTCTCACACCAGGAGAGCCCAAAGCTCTGAAAATGGCAGGCAAAGGAGATAGGGAGTAAGACAGAATTGCCAGGGAGGGGAGAGAGAGGAAGTAGGACATGGCAGAGAGCACCCCAGGCAGGAGCCTAGGGCATTGGCTTGGCTAGACAAATGGGTAGCTTCCCTCTGGCCCTCAATTTGCCCAAGTATGAAATAAAGGGTCTACAGCCATACCACCCTGAATGCGCCTGATCTTGTCTGATCTCAGAAGCTAAGCAGGATCGGGTCTAGTTAGTACTTGGATGGGAGACTGTCTGGGAACACCAGGTGCTGTAGGCTTTTGGCCTATCGCTCCCTCCCTCTTTCCCTCTTTGGCCAGGCATGGTGGTTCACGCCTGTAATCCTAGCACTTTGGGAGGC